AATGAAATCCATCCCTGAGCATATTCTGCGGGCATAACGGGGCCGGAATAAATCCTGCAGAAAGTTTTATTTGTTTCTTACCACTTCGGTATAATTGTTAAAAATGGATATTTCTTTTATTTCATCTCAATAGCTTTAACTTTTCAATTTAATTAAAAAAAAAAAAAAAAAAAATGGAAAATAAAAAAATTGTTTCAGCACTATGCTACAGTTAATAGATTCATTCCACTAGCTTTATAATTTTAAAAAAAAAAAAAAAAATTATTAAAAAACGATAATTCTATTACTCAATCGGATAGCCTGACAGCTGTGGCAATTAAACCAAAATATTACTACATATACAGGGCTGTTCACACCACGACACGGAGTATTGCAGCCAATTCTGATTAGATTTTTAAATATTAAATTGTAAGTTTTGGGTGCCTTGAGGGACTATTAGAGGTACAATTTTTTTTTTTTGAGGTCTCAGCTAACGTCTCCTTCTGCAATGAGGCTAATCTGAACGGGGCTTACTTGTTTACGCGGAATCCGAACCGGCGGTCCTCGCCATATCATGGTCAATGGCCTGCCTACCTGGTAAGTGTCTAAATCGACTCACAAGATATCCGATATCATCCGGCCTCTAACCGGCGTGAATGAGCAGTGTATCAATAGATATCTTTTACACTTTTTCCCCTTTAACAGCACGATGCAAAGTTTTGAACCAGTAACCCGTCCATCCACTAGAATCGCCTTACGTCGCATAACTTCGGTGTTCTAATGGAACCGGTGTTTCGACGTAGCTGGGGCCGCTGCCCTGAGGTGCCAATTTAAAACATTTTTACAAGATGCAGAATGTCCAAATAAGTAACAAAAATTATTTAAAAAAAAAAAAAAAAAACACCCTGTATAATATTCTTTTAGAGTCCCACTGTTGAAATGCTGCACTGATTAAGCGTTTCATCACACTCTAAAACATTGTCAGTTTCTGAAACAATTTTAATTTTGTGAAATTTCAGTAAAAAATTTAAGGCAATTTCATTTCTCCAAGGGTGTTAAAGGTTTTAATAATACTAAAATATCAGAAGTTTATTTATTGATCAGATATTGTGTTGGAATAATAATTTTATTAAAGTGTCTCAAAAATTAAATACTCACAGTTTTAAACCGCAATAAGTTGTTTAATTTAAATAGAACACCCTGTATATTTTAGATGCATACCTAATTCTGTTCATCAAATTGTGTTATACCATTTTACCTATCTCTCTTCAAGTTTTATAGTAGAAAATGGTTTTTATTTAGACCTGATTTATCAATATACCCATGAATATTGAATATTTCCTGATTATTTCTAGAAAAGATGTGTAACAAATTTTCAAATAGTACAGATAATTATATTGTCGATATAGTTCGTTTTCTATTTCCCATTAAAAGACAAAAAAAAAAAAATTGTTTAAATATTTTTTAAAGTGACCACTAATATGATCCTCCCAGTATTCCAAAACCATAAGCCACTGATTCGTTTTGATTAATAAGAATTGCTCCAAATACTAAAAATCCTTGAATTTTGTATGTATATTTATAAGTTCTTGTATTAGACAGTGTGGTAAAAAAGTAACACCTTTATAAATTTATTTCATATTTTTTGACAAATGCTTATTTATACCAAACAGAAACGTTTATTTTCATAACCATTATTAGAATGATTTCTGAGTCAAATCTTACATTTATTTATAAATCATTTATTTATTAATTAAATTTTTTTTTTTTTTTAGTTTGTAGTTAATTAGTATTTTGGCGGAAATAATGGTGGTATATTAATAATTTCATTAGTAATATACTACCTTTTTACAAAGATACTAGTAGAAGTTTTCTTCTTGAAACAAAATGGGTTTGGTGGGTCATTATTATTTTTAATTACTTGTATATTTTGTAAATACAAAAATAATTTAAAAGAATCTAAAATGGATAAAATGCATTTTCTATAAAAACTTGAAGCAGTGTGATAGGTAAAGAATGATGGTAATACATTTTGATAGCAAATTAAATTACACAGCATTATGAGAATCGAACTATATAGGGTGTTCCATCGAAATTTAAAACAAGCGAAGTTGCTGTGTGTTTAAAAGCTAGTATTCGACATAAAATTTTTGGACACTCTGTATAAGGTAGTATAATTTTTATTTTTGCAACACAATATCTGATCAATAAATAATCTTCAAAAATATTTTGGTATTAAAACCCTTATCAACCTTGGAGTAAAATGAAGCCTCGAATTTTTTACTGAAATTTCACAAATTGAAATTATTTTAAAAACGGTAAAGGTTTAAGTATGATAGAATTCAATCAAATTTATTTCCAACTGTAGAATCTAAAAATAGAAAAAATATATAGGGTGTTTCATTTAAAAAAATCAACTATAGAATGTAAAAAATAATTTTTAAATTGTGTACCTATTAGTCCTGCAACGAACCCAAACATACAATTTGTAAAAAATCTAATTTATGTTTAGCTACAGTACTCCGTGTCGTAAGGTGGTGAACAACCCTGTATATCTCTTGACTTTAACTGCTACTAACCAATAATTTGTTTTGTGGTCTGTTTTCAGAAGTTTAAATGTTTTGTTCATTCGTGTTGGGGAATTTGAGATAAATTAATGTTAATCGTTAGGGCAACCAGTATCCTTTGCATAACCACTTAAATCGCTGTCTTTTAGACAGATGGTATTGTCTCGTTATTGTTCAATTCATTATTCAAATTCTGAGGATGTTGTTAACAAATTTTTCTATGTTAAAATAAAATTTTTAGAAGAAAATCTGGCAATTGTTTTCATTCCATCATTTATCGGATTAATAACAGGTCCGCATGCTTCACCATAAAGCGCACCAGTTTTTATAGTGCTTTTTGCTACAGCACTTTTGTTGGCCGAATATTTTTGTTGATTATTGGTTGTGATAAATATGACAGTGTCCTTCAATAAAAATGCGAGTTAGTAATTCTAAATTCTAATTTTGGGGCTGGCAAATAAACTATATACAGTTTTGAATTCTCTCGTTTCTTTTTTTAATTTATATATAGAAAGCCAGAATGTTGTCGAAAAGTTCTGATAGTGAAGACTACTTTAATATTGGTAATCTTCACCAGAACTTGCTGCAAAAAGAGGCAGCTTACCCAAAAAGTCATTTGAAAAAATGGTGTGCCGAAAGAAATGCTAAGAATATTGCTTCCGATAAGAAAAACGAGAGGAGGAAATGGTTGAGGGAAATGGAAGAGGAAGAAAACAAGCATACCTGGACACTCTCAAATTTTTTAAAAGTTTGCAATGTCAGTATTACATATGTGGTGGTAAATAAAAGCTTATTCATCATTTTTAAAATTTATGATTTGATTTTCTTTGTAGCGTCCAAGTCATGCTTGGTAAACACACGTATACATACAAATTCTACATAATATAATATAAGTTTCTCTAGGGAAGGCACTATTCTAGATCTACATGAAAATAGAACTTTCCAGCTCTGCAAGTCGCAGCGTCCCGTCCTATAATGACATTTAATAGACGGTTAAGTGCACAAGCGAACCGCCATCACGACCCAGAATACACAAACTAGTGTACATACGATAATATGCTCAAAATTGCTTTTTATTATAGCCCTTCAAGGGAACTGCTTTGCATCGCTCGGGCTGACGTTGCTTATTTGCAAACGGAGGAAATATATTCCAAGTTAATTTAAAACAATATTCAAAAAGTTAGGGAAAATTTGTTATAACACATAACAAACAAAAAATACGAAAAATATACTTATTTAATATTTCAATTAAATACTCATAACTATTACAACTGCATCACAATTTGTCAAACACTCTAAAAAAATGCTTTCATTTTATAATAACAGAATTAAAATAAAAATAGGTTTTATACAAAGCCTCTACAAAAAGTTTTTTCATATCGATTTAGAAAGTTCATAAGGCAATTATAAACTCAACTGGGAAATGAACAAGAAAACAAAAAAAAATAAGATTAGATTTAAAACACTGAACCTCATAATTATGTAAAATCCAAACGAAATTAGTCATTAAACGATATTGTGCTGGCCTCCATAAATGACATGCAAATTTTCATAGAGGAGGTGTGCAGTGTTACTGTTTTCCCTGCTAGAAATTATATATGGTTATATTTAAACCATCTGTATTTTTAAATATATATTTCAATTAATAGTCTTTGTCTCTTGTCTTTGTCTTGTCTGTCTCTTGTCTTTGGTCTCTTTGTCTCTTGTCTTTGTCTTTGTCTTTGTCTTTGTCTTTGTCTCTTGTCTCTTTGTCTTTGTCTTGTCTCTTTTTGTCTTGTCTTTCTTTGTTCCTTATCTCTCTTTAAGTCTTCTGTCTTTGTCTTTGTTCCTTTTGTCTTTGTCTTGTCTTTGTGTCTTTGTCTCTGGTTCCTTTGTCTCTTGTGGTCTCTCTCTTTCTCTTTGTCTTTGTCTTTGTCTTTGTCTCTTTTGTCTCTTTGTCTTTGTCTCCTTTGTCTCCTTTTCTTTTGTCTCTTTGTCTCTTTGTCTGGCCCTGTTCCTCTTGTCTTTTGTCTTTGTCTCTTTGTCTTTGTCTTCTGTCTCTTTCTTTGTCTTTGTCTCAGTCTCTTTGTCCCTAGGTCTCAGAAGTTCTTTAATTCTTTGCTCCTTTGTCTTTGTCTTTTGTCTTTGTCTTTTGTCTTTTCTCTTCTTTTGTCTTTGTCTTTGTCTTTGTCTCTCTTTAAGTTCCTTTAGTCTCTTTGTCTTTGTCTTCTTTTGTCTTTGTCTTTGTCTTTGTCTTGTCTTTGTCTTTGTCTTTGTCTTCTTGTCTTTTGTCTTTCGTCTTTTGTCTTTGTTCCTTGTCTCTTTCTTCCTATCTCTCTCTTCTCTTTCTCTTTCTCTTTCTTTCTCTTTCTTTCCTTTCTCTTTCTCTTCTTTCTTTCTCTTTCTTTCTCTTTTTCTTTCTCTTTCTCTTTCTTTCTCTTCTTTCTTTCTTTCTCTTTCTCTTTCTCTCTTTCTCTTTCTCTCTTTCTTTCCTCTCTTTCTTTCTCTCTTTCTTTCTCTTTTTTCTTTTCGGCAACTTTTCAGATAAAATTTAAAAGCACTTGAATTAAATTTTAGTGGGACATTTATTGAAAAAATGTTTTTTTTTTTTTAAACAAAACATATTTTTTTTGTCAGTTATGTTGCCTGTTTAGCTTATAAAGCCATAACATACAAACGACTAAAATCTAAAATGATGCACACATCGAAAAGTTGAAATATAGCTATAGGATTACATTTTCCCCAAATAAATAATTTGAGCCCTAACAATAATATGAATAATGCAACGTTTGTTTTGATGGGTGATGTGTAGACAGAATAAATAACAAAAACCCAGATTTGATTTCCCGCTTAATCCTGTGTCCGTGACTTTAATTTTACGCATGCAGCTTCATTAAGATCAAGTTTTTTTGAAAATAGTCTATCCGAATGTATCGACAAAACTTAATGAAATTGTAAATGTTTTAGTGAAAATGATACGTTTATGTAGAGTAATCTATCCATGTTAGAAGTTTCTGATATTGTAAATAAATGTATCGAAAGTTTATAATTTTCTTTAAAAGTTTTTTTTAACTTGCCATGTTAGTTTGGATAAAAATCTTGCAGCTGAAATTATTTGTATATATTTTTTTTTTTATTTTATTTTTACATTATGTTATTACTGCGTGTACCAGCGACTTTGTTTGCGTCGAATTAATCATTGGCAATGGTGATGATAAAGCAAAGCAAGAATTTCCATTAACATTCAAGCTGGATATAGAAAACTTGGTAATATTTGAGGTAATTTCATCTCGTTGAATGTATCTTCCCTCTGTTTTTTTGAAAACTGCTTTCTGCTTAAATAAGCTTTTTACGTCAAGTTAAGCAGAATCGTGGTCAATCAATTACCCAACTTTTGGAACTCCTTTGTAAGGATTTTTAAAAAAAATTCAAAATATGTAAAAAAACAGTGTCCTCAAGCGTTTTCCTGAAAGACTGTTTCTTTTAAATAAATAAATATTGTAATATTTGAGGGGCGTTTTCACCCTCTTGAATTTGAGATTCGAGAAAGTCCTCCTTATCGAACCCCAACACCTCACAGTCAATCCGTTTGCCAAAAAATCAGCTTTAAACGTCACAGTTTAAGTAGAATCGTGATACTCAAATGGTCATATTTTATGAAACAATTCCCTGTATAATTTTTTAAAAATCTAAAAACATTTTTTTTTTTTTTAATATAATATATGTTTAAGAGTTTTTCTCTGAAAAACTCACAGGTTTTAAATAAAATATTCTAATATTTGAGGGGTTTTGGGCTTGGTTTTCACCCCTTTGAATCTTTTGACCCTTCAAAAAATCCCTTCTTATCGAACCTCTACACCCTAAAGTTAATCCGTTTTCCAAAAAATCAGCTTTTTTTCTTTGAGCAGGATCGTGATTAATCAATGAAGAGATTTTTCAAAACAATTCTGTATATTTCTTTTAAAAATTCAAATATGTAAAAAAACAAAAATAAAACATAATGTTTGTTGCTGAAAACTTGACCGTTTCTTTAAATAAAATATTTTGAGCGTGGTTTCACCACCCCCTTGGAACAGGTATTTCGAAAAATCCCTTCTTATCGAACCTATACACCCTAGAATCAACCTGTATGCCAAAATTGAGCTTCTTACGTTGAGTGGTTTGAGCAGGATCTTGATTAATCAGTGAGTCAGTCACTTAAGGATTTTATATATTAGTATAGGTTCAAGTAAAAGCTTGATTTTAAAAAGACTTTTAATTGATAATTTTATTTTATGTTGTTTTACTAAATCAATAGTTTTCAATAAATTTAATTTACATTGCTCAGATGTAAATGTTCACCCTTCATTAATACATACCACATATACGCACTTTACCCGAAAATTTATATGCCCCAAATTACTCCAACGATAATTCCGAATCGCATTAACTGAAACGGCCGAGGCCATAGTCAGCTAGACGATTACAAGCAATTCTACAACGTGCGGTTTGCATCAGATTTCACACCTCGAGGAATAGCCATATTAGGCTGGACAGTCGAACATAGGGGAAGTAATGCTTCGACTGGACTTTCCAATGATTTGAGAGATGTACGTGCAAGCTATATACTGTCATTTGGATTGATTGAACTCGCATTTAGAATATTGCACAGGAAGATAAAAAGGTTGAAACTATTCGTTATTTATTAATGATATTCTTATAGTTATTAATGATACAAGTTCGATATGAACATCATAATGAAACGCGTGTAATGTTTGGTTTGGTTTGGTTTGGTTAGTTACACAAGTTTCATTAAAAAGTTCGTATCGAAAGTGTATCATTCAAAATTTAATCTACGACGCGACACGAGGGACGATCCAAAGAGATTTGATTTAATTTAAAATATCAGAGATATCCCCATAAAAATTGAAATTCAAAATTATCAGGTGCCCATATTAGTCGACGCCGCACAGTGCTTCGTCCCATGGACAAAAATCAAAAAATAAGTTAAAATTTACTAATATCTGAATATATAATTTTATACTTATAGCAATGTTCAACCATCCTGTATATTATTTTTCATAAACAGCGTTTTTGTTAGCAAATATTTTCACTAAAAATAAATTTTGCGATCATTATCTCATCAGTGAAAAGAATAACATTCATAGTAGTTCTGTATATTATGGAGTTAAACGGGTAAGTACTTAATTGAAAGCCACTATGGATATTGTTAAACAAGGTATGTACTTTAAATTTATTTCTAAACAAGTTCGTGATTGTTTAGTTTTTATTTATTTTTTAAGATGATTCTTAAATGGGTATAAAAATTTTACGTTTTCAAACTTCAAAAAGGATATCAGAACATATCGTATTTATTGAATATTTTTGTTGCCATATTCATACACTTTTAATTTTTGTATAGTTCACCTGCGTCTGCTTGCGACGAACTTTATTTTATAATACTTTTCAGATGGAGTAAAATTGATAAGCAATGCCGATCTGGCTAATACTTGGCTTGATCATAAGGACAAGAACTCCAAATTATTTGTATTTCAAAAAATAATATGTTCTTATTAGATATTGATGAACCTTCCAGTCAAATGAGACACCACTTGTGTCTGAAAAAGTCCACTATGTTGGAGCGAAACGTCGCATAAAAAGTGACCATCTTTCAATTTATTATAAAACCTCATACCCAAGAAAAGGAAAAATAATATATGGATATGGTCTATTAAAGAGGTAACTATTAACATCCGAACCCCTCATACCGACCAAAATGAACAGTAACAACGCGAAAAAGTAACATATTAGAAAATGATCTACAGAAATATCTTATATGTGAGGATACTTCATCTACCTGTGATTTGGATACTATAAATTTGGAGATTCTGTCAGCAGTGATTCTCCTGAATCAGAGTAGTTACGATCTATGCATTTTGTTGTCCTAAAGTAAATTTATAGTATCTTAAGTTTTTTTAATTAATTAAATATAACATTAATGTTTCTTTTCATTAAAGAAAAACATTTTTATCTTATATTAGGCTTATATTGTAGGAATCATGTTCTAATGTTATTTCAATTCTTTTTTATCACAGGAATTTATTTAATACTTACACCGTTTTCATACTATAACTTATTATTTGCTTAGATGGAACACAGCTCCAACATTATTATTAATTATAAGATTTTTTTTTCATAAACGTGAGACTAAGTACATCATCATTTAGTACAATGAGAGTACTCATCATTTGTGTCAAATAAACCTAGTTTGAATAAATTGCTTACAATACAAGAGAAGTTTTGGATTTTTGTCCTCTAGAGCCATATGTTCGAAGCACTTTGCGCCGTAGTAATCGTGCTTGTTGATTGTTTCCATTTTGACTTTGACAACTCAATTATTGACGTTCAATTTTGTGTTAAACGTTCAGTTTTAGCAAAAAGCAAAAAATAATATTAATATGGGTGATTCTGATTCTGAAAGTGTCCCTTCGGATATTGAAGGCATTGCGCAAAACCTTGTCGATTCCCTACTTCCCGAAAATTCAAAACAAACGTACGAGCAAGCCTATGTAAAACTTGAAGATTGGTATAAAGTGTTGCTTGTTTCTTATTTTAAAATTTGCATGTAATTATGAATTCATAATAGCACTAGTGCTATTGTGAAAGCCATATTGACATCCAAATGACAATGTTAAATGTGCCATAATGACATTGTCGTAGAAAATTAATTTATGACACAAACTTTTTCACTTGTAATATTAGTCTGCTAGGTAACTTTGGAAAAAATCGGAGAAAACAAACTCATTAGGGATGTGATTATCTACAACTTTTATCTGAAAACTTTTTGTCTAAAATAGATTATAATGGAATTAGGGACAATTTTTAAAATAGCCATGAACTTTTTCAAAAATCTGGATGGCGCATATTTATGACCCCATTTCCACATTTAACCGACTCTCTTTCTCTAGTAGTTTTCGAGATACTCATAAAGAACATTGTACGAAACTCACCCTGTATAAATTTGTAGTGTAATAAATTGCTGGATTTAACTTAATTTATATATTTTTTCTTTATAAAGCATTTAAATAAAAGTTTGTTTTTAAAAATTATCTTTTTTTAAATGAAAATGTTATTATATTAACTTCTGTTTCTAGAAAGTAACAAACTTTACTTTTATTTCCTATACAACCATGGCCTTGTTACTTACTACACACAACGAGAGCGTGTCATTACATAGAACCTAACAACCCTACGAAGACGAAACCGCTAGAAATGTAATACGTCGGAAAAACGCCTTACAGCCCTTAATTCCGGCTTTTAATGGAGGATATTATTCCCTTCTCGTCATAATTTATCAAGTTGATAAAGAGCGACGACAGCTCGCGAGAACTCTAACAGTGCGCCTCGCTAAGTCTTCACATCCCTCTCTCTGGAGGACTAATTTCGTCGGGCTGTCGCTTTAAACCGTTCTCAGAAGGAAGATATTTGCATTCCCTTTCTAGAAGGCGTTTATTTTAAATGTGTAGAAGTAATTAAAAATATATTTTCAAATATTATTAAATAATATCCTATTAAAATTGTAAATGTTTTAAAAATATCGCCATGATCGATGATTTTTATCATGATTTGTTTTAAAAAAGGGAAAGGGAAAGGGAAAGGGAGGGGAAGGGAAGGGAAGGGAAAGGAAAGGGAAAGGGAAAGGGAAAGGGAAAGGGAAAGGGAAAGGGAAAGGGAAGGGAAAAGGAAAGGAAAGGGAAAGGGAAAGGGAAGGGAAAGGGAAAGGGGAAGGGAAAGGGAAAGGGAAAGGGAAGAGGAAGGAAAGGGAAAGGGAAAGGGAGGAAGGGAAAGGGAAAGGGAAGGGGAAAGGAAAGGGAAAGGGAAAGGGAAAGGAAAGGAAAGGGAAAGGGAAAGGGAAAGGGAAAGGGAAAGGGAAAGGGAAAGGGAAAGGGAAAGGGAAAGGGAAAGGGAAAGGGAAAGGGAAAGAGGCAATTTTTTCTGAAAATGTGCAAAATAAAAAAGTATACAGGGTGGACCGATCTGATAAAAATAAGTAAAAAAGTTTGCTGACAATGTATGTGCTGACCTGTTTGTAATGACTGTCATGACTGGAGAGTTTCTTCGTCCCATTTGCAATTTATTTTCGTTAGAAGCACTATACGGGTTCTAGCCCTAGATAAATACTTACGCCATTTATTTGGTCAAACGCCATTTAATTAGCATTAAAAACAATGTCTTCAACATCACGACATGCCATTTTCAAATCTTCTTTATTACATTTATGAAACGTTTAATAGGCTTGTCTCTTCCGAGGATATTACTTTGCTCCCCCACTTTAACACTTACTCGGTATAGCCTATATGTAGTTTAGTTAAATTAACTATTGTACTTTAAATCAAATTAAAACTTGATCCAAAAAGTTATACAGGTTGAGAGAAAATTAATTCTGAACATTGGACACCTTTTAAGGCATGTTACTTTTTTATTTTAAATGGAACACCCAGTATATTATTACAATATTCAATGGAGAATTCATGTCTCTTCAAAATAGTATTAAAATTGCCTACCCCTCAACAAAGATTTTCCTAGATATTTTCATTTGCATGATTTGATCTGAGTAGATCTTTATTACTTGATAAAATCTAGGTGGCTGTTATATGTCTGACGTTACTTCAACATAGCTGTCTAATTAGTCCAACTTTAACATCTAGTTGTTATTTTGTGTCAGTTAAAACAAAAAAAAAATTCTCAGAAATTTGCCAAAAATGCAAACTTATCCTGCATCAGAGAGAATTGATATGATTCTATTAGTTAGTGAATGCAGTTAGTGAATGAATGCATTCACCAATTAATAGAATACTTAAATGCTCCTGATTTTATCTAGTCTATTTTTTTATGGGGATATGTTAAAGACAGTGGTTACAAAACTCGACCAACTATGTGGACAACATGAGAGAAATCATTGTAGCTGCGTTTAAGTCCACATATGGCTTTTATGATACGTTTAAAATGAAAAGATCCTTTTGAAAAGACAATCATTTTATGCGGTTAACAGGAAAGAAACCATTTTGAGCATTTGATTTCATCTAGCTAATTTTTGTCACATATAGGTTTATATCTAGTTTTAATTCTGTAATAATTAAAATATGTTTTAAACGTGTATCTTTTTATTACCGTTGAGTCTTTTACTCTACAATCTTTAATTTTTGTTAAATTAACAAAATGTATATCACACAGCCGCCCTAGATTTTTTCAGATAATAAAAATCTACTGACGCAAAATCATAAAAAGGCCAACTAAAATTTAGGTAGCTGTTATCGAAATTTAAAATTTACTCTTCATTTTCACAAAATGTGAAATATGTCAAAATCCTTAGATTTTAGGTATCTTATACCTTCGCTTCTTTAATAAAACTCACCTTAATTTTTTTCCTAGAATCCGAAAATCAATTAATATATAGAGTGTTCTATTAGAAAAAACACAACTTTGATGTGTAACTTTTTTTGGGGCCCCCTGTATAATTCTATATATTTTTATAAAATACTTTTAGTTAACCTACATATGCTGCGAAAATTTCATTTCAATATAAACTACCGTTCTCCTTGGAGCTTCCGCGGCGTATGAGAGGCGCCACCCTGTATATATCGACGGCGTCACGACAAAAGGGCGTAAGCGCCATTCGTCATTTTTTTCAGGAGACGAAAAAACCGTCTAAAATCTATATTTTTTATTTTTTGTGAATTATTTTTTGCTACAGTATTATAGATTATATGGCACATTTTTCAAAAATTTTTTGCTTATAAAATACTAAACTGTTAATTAGTTATTTTAATATTTGGTGCTTACGCCTTTCTTTCTAGGCTCGATTGGCGTTTACGTCTTTTTGAAAGGCGTTTAAGGCGCTTTTGTGTCTTATTATTCTAGTCATTTTTTGTCGTTTAGGTGCACTTACGCCTTTTGAGTTTTATAAATAAAATTAAAAATGTCGCTTGGATTTTTAAATTTTTTTGAAGAAAACACAGTACAAAATACTCAAACTGATACTTTCAATATTTTGAAACTCATTAGGCTTGAAATAATAACTGGAAAATTAAATTTAACTAATATTCTGAGTAAAACACGGGTAAACTTGATCCGTATTCCTCGTTGGTGGCAAAAGGTGGTGCTTCTAACATGAATAATTCTGACTCCAACAGCGCATCATGCTGCAATGCTTCTGCCAGAAGATCATTATCTATGATATTGCTCTCAACCTCAACCTCTTGATTTCCACATTTTAATGCCAAATCTCTGATTTTCTTCCCGCGGGAAGTCATTATCACACTGTGGAGGAAAAATATAAAAAAGGCTTAAGCGACATCAAAAAAAAACAAATTTCAAACAATTATTACAATCAAGAAAAAGTCCTTTGACTTGTAGCAAAGGTTTTTTTGAAAATTAATATTGTATACAATTTAGATATTTGACAATTTTTTGAAATCTGTTGAACGGTAGTTTTGTTAAAAGCAAAAAAATATGCCATTACGATCACATAGGCGGATGGCGCTTACACAAACCAAATAAATTAACACGAAAAGGCGTAACCGACAATAACAAATAAATATCGGTGTTTACTATTTGAATTAGATTGAAGCACAAAAAACAATCTAGGCTACCAAATATGAATAAGACCTATCTTATTAATAAGTTTTTCTACGTACCTTTGGATGGAAAATGGTATTTTTTTATCTCAGGGGTAAGCGACCTTCCAACACGTGTGAATGGCGGTTACTGATTTTCGCGTCGAGTCTGGTTTGAAGGTATATTGGCGGTTAGGAACTAAAACTGTCTTTTTTCTCACGTTAAGAATTTTTGCTGGTTAAGCCGTTTCATAGATAGGTGCGCATTTATTAATATTACATTTTGGAACCATAATCTCATTTTCGTTATTTTGGCGCTTACGCCCTTTTGTCGTGACGCCGTCGATATGATCTAGGGTTATAACTGAAGAAAGTGAGACACAATAAATCTATAAGGTCGCGGTGATTAACTTCTCCGTCCAATACAATCTAAGACACTATATATTTTTTGTTCGAAAATCGTGTAGTACACAAAAACAGGATCGATACGCCTCTGTTCTGTTCTGTCGAACGAATACGACCATTAATCGGTCCCAGCACCCTCCTGCGTGCCGACTACACATAATTCGAGTCATATTGGAGTTGCACTTGCGAGAAGGGTGGGCGGTCGCCGCCCTTATCGGCCCTAGGAACGACTCCAAGGGACCGACACAGGCACGACAACTTCGATACGTAACTAACTAGTTGCTCGGTTTAATTGAATTTCGAAAGGCACACGAGAGCCATACCGCAATATCGATGGTTTCTGGTTTTTGAAGCGATTCGGTGCGTATTCTATTCTTATTGGCATTATTTTTATTATTCTAAATTTTCGTAAAACATTTCTGGAAATATTTTCAGAAGTAAACTCAAATATAAGCCCGTGTTTTAAAAATTAGTTCCCACGTTTCTTGAAATAGATCCAGAAGCGCCGTGATTGGTTGTTTGTCTTTTATTGGTAATCCAGTTTAATCAATAATATTCCCAATCAGCTCGACATATTGATGGTGTTGCCAGTATTACTCATCAAGCAATTCTACACTTATATTTATCAAATGAGTCCGCGTAAACATACATAACATATACAATTTTATATACTAATTCATTATAATAAAATTGAATATTAAACATATTGTAAATACACTTCCCCAATAAATTAACGCATCACAAAAAAATAACCAAAAGTTTAAGTTAAGTTTTTGTCAAAACCACTTATCCGATTTGGACGATTTTTTTTTAATGATAGGTTGTTCTTTCCACAATGTTGCTATACTAACTGTATTTTGATAGGAACCCTTTTTATACTAATACCGGGTGTAGCAATTATAACGTGTTTTTTTAATAAAATTTGTGACACCCTGTAGAATTGATCAGTTACAGTATCAAGTTGAAATTGAAATCACATTTTAGCCTTATCATTTTTTTACGTTTTGTTTTTTTATTTACTCCATTATCTTCTTTATTACATGAGAAATAACATTTTTTATAGAATGACATGATTTAATATTGGTTTTAATTAACATTTTTCCATTTTACTCACTAAAGTAAGTAGCAGGCTATGGAAAAACACGGATTACCAGTAAATATCAAATAGAGATGCTTGTTGTCAGTGTCTTATTATATCAAAAATATGCATCGTGCACGTGAAACAAGAAATCTTACTGGCGAAGAATGTGCTCAAGCATTAATATTGTCTGAGGAAGGTTGGAGCTACCAAAGAATTGGTGAACGATTTAATGTAACTCACTCAACCATTTCACGAGTTATACAACGGTATAGAGATACTGGGAGTCATTGTCGCAGGCCGGGACAAGGCAGAAATCGAAGAACCAATCCGATTCGGGAACGTTTTTTAAAACTCTCAACATTAAGACAACGTTTCGTAACAGCTCGGACCGTTCAAACTCAGCTCAGAGATACTAATGGTCTACAAGTTTGCACAGAAACTAGCATCTCTATTTGACATTTACTGGTAATCCGTGTTTTTCCATAGCCTGCTACTTACTTTAGTGAGTAAAATGGAAAAGTGTTAATTAAAACCAATATTAAATCATGTCATCCTATAAAATGTTGTTTCTCGTGTAATAAGGAAGATAATGGAGTAAATAAAGAAACAAAATGTAAAAAAAAAGATAAGGCTAAAATGTGATTTCAATTTTAACTTGATACTGTAACTGATCAACTCTACAGGGTGTCAGAATTAGAATTAGAATAAGTGGGAGGGGGGTTAATCTCTGCGACCTTAGAGATCTATTGTGTTCCCCTTTCTTGAGTTATAACTCATCATACAGTCCCAGGACTTCCTACGGAGACCCGTGTCCCTCACAGTCGAGGAGCTACGACCCAGGCCAGGTAGACGAAACCGTAGCTTGTGTCGCCTGTTGGGTTTAGAGATAGGAGGTAGGCTTCCGACCCTTGGAGGAGGTGGTTGCTTGTATGCCACTTGCGGAGGATGGTCTCACACAAGTGTCAGCCACCTCTCCTATAGTTCTCTTTGGGTTTGGCCCCTTGGAACTTTCATTGTTACTGTTCCCAGTGTCGCTAGGGGGTTTCCCCACAGCTTCACCGGTGATGTTTTTATTACTATTATTATCAGATCTCATAGTGTTCCTATGAGTCGCTAGGGACAGTCGGTCCACTTCTACAGAGCCCCGCATGTAGAAGTAAGGGGTAAAATATAATGGGGTGCCCCCCGGTGCCCCAAGGTTGAGGCTGTCCGTAGCCCCGCCCGGTTATATGTCTTGGTGCAATTCCCTGGCCACGACAATACAGTCAGGGACAAGACGATGAGTGAGATGCTTCTTAGACCAAGCCAAGTGCTAGAGGGGATTCCCCCCAGCACCTGACCAGGAGCTTCCGCACCAACGACAAGGTCTTGCATCTCCTAGGGGAAGTACAGGGTGTCACAAATTTTATTAAAAAAAACACGGTATAATTGCTACACCCGGTATTAGTATAAAAAGGATTCCTATCAAAATACAGTTAGTATAGCAACATTGTGGAAAGAATAACCTATCGTTCAAAAAAAATCGTTCAAATCGGATAAGTGGTTTTGACAAAAACTTAACTTAAACTTTTGGTTATTTTTTTGTGGTGCATTAATTTATTGGGGAAGTGTATATTACTGCAGATTGAGGGAAAAGTTTTGTTCTTATATATCTACTCTACATATTATAAACGCGTGTTCAAATATTAATCTTGTTGATATATGTCATCATTAAACGAGATGTAATTAATGAAATATCATCGTAACAGCAGCTATTTTAGAAACGTCTAGGTTTACTTATTTTACTGAGATTTATGAAAAAAGTCCTTTGCCTCGCGTACAGATACCGCCACGTTTTGGAAATAGCTTAAAACGAAACAAAATTAAACGAGGCAACAGGTAACGCTAAAAAAATCCCCCACGCCACGAGTAGTGTTCGGGCGCTTTTAAGAATCGCAAGTAGGTCGAGACAAACCGAAGTCGGTCAAGACAACTGAAGATAAACCGAAGTGGGCAAAGTTGCGTCACGAAACGCGACTTTGACCTGCTTCGAAGAGTTCTCGCATAGTGTAGAGGCTGTTTTAGAACTGATCACTAATAATGGTGGTGTAGGTTATATAACTTTTATCATAAATAATTTTATTCTCAAAAAAGGTTAATTCTAGATGATATTAATATTCATAAAAATTTATAGATAATTTAAATCTATTAGAAAAAAATAAAATAAATTATGGTATCCATTTAAAATAAGAAAGTTGTTGCCAACTTCCGGTACTCCCAGAAATACTTACTTACTGCCGTTACGTGAGGGAGTATTTGACACGCATCAGAAGATGGTTACGCAAGGCGTTTTCTTTCTTGAGCTTATCCATGCGACTTCCAGAAATGCGGCCATATTGAAAATGTATTAATTTGATTTTAGTTCTCTAGAAACTTCTAATGCAGGCTCGGCCTGCGACACCCTGTATATAAAGATATATCTTAAAAACTAGTAAGTTGCGTTATAAAGTACTTATTATTTAAAACATCAATTTCAGTATTTTTGAATTTTTGTGTAAAACTTTTTTTGATAGAGTATGAAAATGAAAATTAAAAATCATTATCACTACAATAATTACGTTTGACAAAAATGTATACCCAGTAAATATTGTTATATGAACACAGCATCACAAAATGATGCTTTCAGTTTTGTTGATGTAAACTAATACGTCCCGTAGGATGCAATCGAAATATGGCTGAAATGATATTCATTTTACATGAAGTCCTCGAAGTGTAAGTTATCATTTCAAATATTCGTTTATAAATCCTGTAATTTGCACTCTTTTATATTAAATTTCATTTGAATTATATCAATGTTGCCCCAGACATATTCTACTTTTAGTCGTTGGCTAAAACTTGTGTTTGTTTTGTTTGTTTTCAACGTTTTACTAACGCTAGATTTAGGCTGGCCGCACACAAAAAAACGCAAAGCTGTTTTATTCAGAAACACTTTCGTCTATGGCAAAATTTTTTGTCTTTTATATAAAATTATATTTCGAAGAAACAAAATATTTGATTTACAATTAAATATGCACGGCAGCAAATACAGAGCAGTTTACGAATATACCATACGATAAAAAACGTCGTCAAGGACGGCTGTGTCGCGAATACGTATAGCACTGATGATTGCCAACCTTCGCAACTAAGAAGGCATTTGAAGAAGAAGAAGTAAAGTTCCTTCAAATATGCACAC